GATGAACTTTACCTATACTTAAGGAAGTAGTAGCTCAAAATAGGGAGCAAATCTTTACAGTGAGGATCACTCCCACCCCCTAGGTACACAGAGTTGACAGGGATGGGCAACTTAGACATTGGCTACCCAAAATGCGGGGGGTGGGGGTGGGTAGGCTATAAAGGCAAGAAGTGGCTGGCTTACAAGCTTTCAAGAGGGAGCCTAGTTCCAGACGGGGCAGGGGAAGGTAGACTCTCCACTGAATGATTTCCAATCTGTTGGGACTGGGCTGGAGACAGGAAATGGGGATAAGTCTCTTGTGGTACAATAGTGAATAATTGCCATCAGGACTGACTGTGAGGGTAGGAAATATAGAGGTAGATGTTTGTTGATAAAAGGAGGGGAGTGATTGATTTTGCAGCCCAAGAGCCGTGATCCCTGGGACCACCAAGTGAGAAGAACCGAGAGCATGACCCTACCCAGAGAGGCAGTGACTGCAGGGATGGAGACAGAGATGATGACATGTACAGATGAAGCGGCTGGGGACACTGAACTCAGGGAGGGAGAGGGGCTGTGTGCTGACAGCCGGGGGGCGGGCCTGTGGGGTGTACCCTTTGGTTATTTGATGATGCATAGAAGGGATTGTAATCATTGCAATGAAACGAAATACGGTAAGATGAATGTAAAACTGATGTTATTCCATGTAAAGCTCACAATGACAACTTTAAAGAAAAAAAAAAAAAAAAAGTTAGGCAAAGTTTCAGCATAAAAATGCCCTGGAAATCTTCACCAGTGAGTCCTTCTCCATCATAACAATGCTGCTCATTCCTCTCATCAAACAAGGGCAATTTTGTGAGTGTTGATGGGAACTCAATAGACATCTGCTTCATAGTCCTGATTTGGCTCCTTCTGACTTCCGTTTCCTAATTTTAAAAAATCTTTGAAGGGCACCCATTTGTCTTGAATTCAAAATGTAGAAGAGATTTCATTGGCATGGTTAAGTTCCCAGGACTCTCAGTTCTTTAGGGATGGACTAAATGGCTGGTATCATCACTTACAAGAATGTCTTGATCTTGATGAAGCTTGTGTTGAGAAATAAAGTTTATATTTTTATTTTTATCTTTTAATTCCATTTTCCATGAACTTTTTGAAGCCTTCTCGTATTTAATAAGGTTTTATGGAACTTTATTTACATACAGTGATCTCTCACTCCTGGCTTGTAACTCATCATGGATTCCAACTGAGAGCTAAGGAACTTACTTGTTACACCAGGATCTCCAACTTTGATCTCATCAGCCATGTAACATTGCTCTGAGCTCTGGTAGATGTTTTTCTTCTTAGCAGCTGTTTTATGTTTGGTTTTGTGTAGTAACAAATTAACCTTACGCAAAGAGAGGTCTGGCCTTTGCCCTCAACTCCTGAGTCATCTCTAAGTCCTTGGATTGTCCTGTTTGACAAGAATATCTTTGTTTATCTTGAGGCCTTGGGTCACACTGAATAGTATAATATGAGGGGACTTCTAAAAGTTCATGGAAACATTCCATAATCTTTTCATTCCATTTTACCATGAACTTTTGGAAGGCCCCTCAGAATGTGATTTGTGAGGAGATAATGGGGACATTTAGTATCAGCTCAACCTCCAGAGGGGCTGAAGACTAAGAGGCAGTCACAAAGAAGTCACCATGTCTGCCAATAAATACTGGACACCAAGTCTACTGAGGAGTCCTAGTATGGTGCTCAACAGTTCAAACCAGCTGCTCCTTGGAAACCCTATGTAGGGTCGCTATGAGTCAGAACTGACTCCATGGCACTTAACAAACTGCAACGACAACAACAACAACAACAAGCCTCTGATAACTTTCCTCATTGACAACTCTCAGTACATAGTGTCATGCATAGTTTCCAGGAAGGTATCTCTGTCTACAATTCCACTGGGACAGGATGACTGTGTTTTTCACGCAGCTCTTTGCTTGGCTGTTTTTGATATGTATCCTTTCACTGTAATGAACCATAACCATGAGGGTAACAGGTTTCAGTGAGTTCTGTGATTCTTTTCAAGGGAATTATCAACCCGGCAGGTGGTCTTGGGGAATCCCCAAACTTTCCATGGGTGTCAGAAATGAGGGTGGTCTTGGGAATGCCCAAACTTTGCAATTAGTGTCGGAAATGAAACTGGTCTTCGAAAGTGAGGGTGCTCTTTTGGAGTGTCCCTTGCAGTGTAGTTTTCTTGATCTCTTGCATCCATGTAGTTTAGTATTCTAAACTACCCAATTTCTTGAGAGTGAAAGTTTCATAGATTGATGGAGTTCATCTCACTTCTCTGTAGTTCCCTTTTCTCTGGGGTTTTGACTTCCTTAGTCCTAGCTACTTTTTTTTGTTTTTTAATGTTATGTAATGTTTTATTTTTAAGCTCAGATCCCTTTTTTTGTTTTGTTTTGTTTTTATTGTGAGTGATAGTTTACGTGGGAGAACATCAGCTTTACATTCATCCTATTGTAGTTTGTATCATTGCAATGATTATAATCCCCTCCATTCATCATCATTCAACAGCATTTGCTTCCATCCTCCCATTCTCTCTGTGGGTTTTTTTTTTTTTTGGATGTACACTGAAGCACTCAGGAATATGTAATCATAAAAACAACCTAAGGGCATACCCTGCAAGCCTGCCCTCCGGCCACCAGCACACAGCCCCTCTCTTTCCTTGAGTCTAGAGTCCCCAGCTGCTCCATCTCTCCTCGTCATGTCTCTGCCTCCATCTGTGGTATCGCTGCTTCTCTGGACAAGTCCTGGCTACTTTTGTAGTTCTGAATTCACCTTTTGTCTCCACAACCTCAATGAGAGTGCCAGAAAGTGTAGACAGTCCATTTCTGATTGGCCTTCAGGACCTGGGGCTGCTGTTGTATTGTAGAACTGGTTCTGTCTTGTAGGATTTCCTAGGTGTGACTGATGAGTTTGAACCACCAACCTTGTGCTTAGCAGCCCAGTGCTGATCCTACAGTGCCATATCAGGACTCCTAGAATCACCAAATACCCACAAGGGGAAAAAACAGAAGTGAACATCGGGTTCATTTTAGTGAGTTTACATTCTTTTCAAGAACTTTGCTCCTTTCAGGTCCTGGCTACCTTGACTTTGCTCTGAAAGCTTTTTTCACTATTTTGTTGTTGCTGCTGCTGTTGCATCTGGATTTTATAGTCCTATGAAAGCTGGACAGTGAATAAGGACGACTATAGGAGAATTGATGCTTTTGAGTTGTGGTGTTGGAGGAGAATACTGAAAGTGCCATGGACTGCCAAAAGAACCAACAGATCTATGTTGGAAGAAGTGCAGCCAGAGTGCTCCTTGGAGGCCAGGATGACCAAACTTCGTCTCTTATACTTTGGACATATTGTTAGGAGGGACCAGTCACTGGAGAAGGATATCATGTTTGGTAAGGTGGAGGGTCAGAGTAAAAGAGGAAGACCCCAGCAAGATAGATTGGCACAGTGGCAGCATCAATGTGTTCAAGTGTGGCGACAACTGTGAGGTTGGCCCAGAACCGGGCAGTGATTCGTTCTGTTGTGCATAAGGTTACTATGAGTTGGTACCAACTTGATGGCACGTAACAACAACAGTCAGTAAGAGGGTTGATCTAATATTAGATACTCAGTGGTAGCAGTAAGCAGAAAGCTCATCCAAATTATTTAAAGGACTATAGGGTCACTATGAGTCAGAACAGACTCCATGGCACTTAACCACAGCAACAATAAGAAATCTGGATTCTCCTATGAAATCTCTTGGATTTTACATCTTGGTTGATGATTAAATATCCCAAAAACATACTAGGAAAGCCAATGAAAACATCTCTTTGACTGAAGTCAGTCAGTTTGTGACTTCTCACCTAGATAAAATGCAAATTGGAAGTGGGCTTTCTCACAGCCTACTGTTAACTCCTCTTGCTTTGCTGGAAAGATTCCATGGGTGAGAAAAGAGAGACAGAGACACTGCTATAGAAGTGTCTGGAAGGAAATCAATAGGACCGTAGATTTGAGTGTGTTTCAGATAGAGATAATGGGAGACAAGAAAAATCCTAGATGGTTTTGTGGATCTCAGAGTAGAAAGGATGTATGCCCCTATTTTCCACTCCTCGAGTAAATGTGGCAGCAAGATATCATAGAAGCAACTGTTCCAAAGAAAGAGAGAGTCTACATTTATAGCTTATGCCAAAGACAGTCTTTAAATGTTCTCAGGTCCCCACATGAGATCGGGCCTAACAGAAAGCGCCAGCCATAAAAAGTCAAGTGAAGAGGAAGGTAGAGTGTTGGCAGAGACCTAGGGGGATATTTGACTTCATCTCTCAGCACTCTTGCCCTTGTCCACTCTTCCTCAGCCACTCTGGCCTCCATAGCCTTTAAATACACTAACCAGGCAGCCATAGTAGAGGCTGGCTCTCTCTTGAGAACAGACTTTTCTCCAATGTCCATGTGGCCCATCCTCCTCCATTCAAATGTTTGTTGAGCATGACCCTGTCCCTTTCTATCCCCATTTCCCTGCTCAATTTTTCTCTATAGCAATCAATAGGATCTGGCATTAAGTATCATGTGTTTGTTTATTGTCTCATTAGAAGCTCAAAGAGAGCAGGGTCTTTTCCAGCCTGTTTAAATGCAGTGATTAGAATAATGGCTGGCGAAAGGTAGGCTTTCTGTCAAACTTGTGAATGACGGAAGCACAAGCCTGCACATTAACTATTTTTTAAAATTTTAGATTGAGAAGGCATTCAGGAAAGAGATTGGGAAAGTCCCAATTGAGAAAAACATTTATTCACTTGTTTAAGGTGAATCAAGTTATGTGGTTATCTGGAGGAAGAGCCAGGAACTGGCACTTTCGAAGGTCCTGAGGGAGGAGCTGTCTGCTTACCTGGCAGGACAGTGACCTCACACACCCATACTGTGGACTGTGATTCATCCTACTGCCCAGAGCTGAGGCCTGAGTTCCAGAGATGACTTCATAATGCCCAGCCCCCAGGACTGCAGTCCAGTCCACCATGCTGACCACCATCGGGCTGCTGCTCAACCTTGTGTTCCCCATATTGGGGTTCTATTTTTCCATCAGTTGCCCCAACCACCAGCAATGTCAACAGGCTCTGCTCTCAGGCAACGACATTATCCTGCACTGCAACTCTTCCGGGGCACATTGGTACTACTCCTCCCAAGAGATCATCAAGCCTATTGACCTCTCCAATGTTCCCAACGTAGACATCATGCTTGATGGCAGCATTCTCATTATAAATCCACTGCCTTCCCAGACAGGCCTCTACAGCTGCCAGGACCAGAACGGCAGCCAAGTGGTACAGTATGAAATTGACTTCCAAGATGTCACCACCTTGCATATTTCGCACAAAAACCTGGGTCAAAAGCCCTTGCAGAATGAGAGCCTGAACATAGATGATAAAGTACTCATCTTCACCCACTGGGAGCCCTGGCAGGACTGTAACCGCTGTGAGGAGCCAGGAGAGCGTAAACGTCTGGGGTACTGCTACATCAAGGAGCCCCTGAAGGATCCCATACCCTGCTGGCTCTATCTGGGAGATGTAAGAGTGTGGTCCACACGCTTGCGGCCTGAGCTCCAAGTAGAAACCTGCATTGAACCATGCAAACCTTCCCCAAAGTTGGACAAATTCTTTGTTACCTTTGACAACTTCAAGCTCAATGAAGAATCCGAATCTGTGTGGCTCAACTGCCCCCTTGGATCTATCTACAGGTGATGGAACCCAGGCACCAGCTTATCCCCTGACCCTTCCCCAGACCGTATACCAGCCTGTAGGACTTCATGGTCAATCCGGGCAGGCAAAGGGGCTGACCTATTGGGTTTCTCGACTAGATTGTTCAGATATTGGTTTGGGAAGAATCCTTGAATGACCACACACTACCCAACAGCACACATAGAATAAGGACTCCCTCCAATAGGCAATGGACTACTAACTGCAAGATCAGTGGGAGAAAATATTTATAGTCTTGGAACCCCTAAACAAGGTCACTATGAGTTGGAATCAACTCGATGACCCTGGGTTTGGTTTGGGTGTTTTTTTTTAAACACTGGATGAGAACTTAGCTCACTGTGCCAGGCCTTGTGTTGAGAACACAGAAGTCATCCCGATAGCTCACACCCTGCCCTCAGAAAGCCCTCAGTCTAGTCAATGGTGCAGGGGACTCAGAGCTGTGGCTGGGGCAGGGCAGGGGGTAGACTTGGGTAGAGTGATGTGGCTATGATGGGGGGATCCGGGCAGAGTGAATGGGGCCATGGTGAGGGAACCCAGGCTTAGTGATGGGTGCTGTGTGTGTGTGTGTGGGGGGGGACCCAGGCAGAGTGGTGGGGGCTGTGATGGGGGGAACTCTGGCTTACTGATGGGGACTGTGATGGAGGACCCAGGCAGAGTGGTGGAGGCTGTGAAAGGGAACCCAGGCTTTGTGATGGGCACTGCGGTGGTGGTGGGAAACCCAGGCTCAGTGGTGGGGGTTGTAAGAGGGGGCCCAGGCACAGTGGTGGAGGCTGTGATGGCAGGGGACCCAAGCACAGTGGTGGGGGCTGTAATGGGGGGAACCCAAGCTTAGTGATGGGGGCTGTGAGGGGTGACCCAGGCTTAGTGGTGGGGGCTGATGGAGGACCCAGGCAGAGTGATGGGGGGACCCAGGCAGAATGGTGGGGGCTGTGAGGGGGGACCCAGGCTTAGTGATAGGGGTTGTGAGGGGGATCCAGGCAGAGTGCTGGGGGATCTGGCAGGGGGCATTTGGACAAAGTGATGGAATTGTAGTGGGGGAACCTGGGAAGAGTGATGGGGCTGGAATGGAGCAAACCCAGGAAGCTCTGAGAGACTTAACTCACTGGAGAGAGCCAGGAAGAGCTTCCTCAGAGAGGGATGGTGCCCTACCCCCAATGACATCCAGTAGGAACTGCATCATAGAGCTTACTTACATCATGTTCTTGTCTTCCTACCCAAAGCCCCTTCAAAAAAATCTCCCCTTTACACCTTTCTCCAGCCCTTCTGCTTCTCCCTCCCTTCAGTAATAAACAGAACCACTCACAGGCACTGATCTCTCACTGTGGGCCAGGTCCTGGGCAGACTCTTGTCATGGGTAGAGCCATCTCAGTCATCCTTCCCAGCCCAGGCAGTGTAGACTCAGAGGAGGCCCATTTTGTAGATGGAGAAACTTCAGCTTTTGTTATTGTTTTGATGCCATGGAGTTGGTTCCGACTCATAGTGAACCTAGACACAACAGAAGAAAACACTGCCGGTCCTGAACCAACCTCACAATCATTACTACACTTGAGCCCATTGCTGCTGCCACTGGGCTAATCCATCTTGTTGGGGGTCTTCCTCTTTTTCTCTGACCTTCCTCTTTACCAAGCACGATGTCCTTCTCCAGGGACTGGTCCCTCCTGACAATATGTCCCAAGTATGAGAGATGAAGTCTGGCCATCTGGCTACCA